TTTGATTGATGCAAGCGACGTTATTTTACCTGTGTGTGTTTGTGTGGAATTTGAGAACGAGATGTCTTGTTAAAAGGATTTTCGTTTAGCGGGGGGGGGGGGGGGGGGGGGGGGGGGCTTGGTTCATATAAATAAATAAAAAAATCCAATTCGCACATTTTTTCATGTGCTTTTTATACATTCTCAATATAGAGCTAATATTCAAATATGAAATATATATTAAAGTTTTCACATATACTGTTTTTACTTTTCATACATATGAACAAACTGAAGTGGAGTGTTCAAAAACTAAAACTTCATAATTTCCTGTCTTTTCTGTAATCTGTGATACTTATTACTCATGGTTATCACTTTTTGTTATTATTCATCTATGGTGAAAAATGTGTTAAAAAATAAACATGAAGTTTAGTTATTTTCAAAACTTTTCGAATGTTTTAGAAAATAACAGGTTTCTATTTTAACCCCATACTGTTTCGGTATATAAACAATTATTGCATGAATGTTTTGGAGATATGAAGAATTCTATTCACTCAAGAGGGCAAAATAGGGAATCAATATGATTTTTATTAGATGAATAGATCTCTTTATCATACAATGAATATATACCATTCAATGACGTTTAGCACAAAACTCTACAATAAGATTTTACATTTAATTTGATTATTTTGAAAGGGGAGGGATGTTTCTCTTGGACACATGCATAACACATTCGAGGTTAATTTTCGCTTGACCGAGATAGTCCAGACAAGAAATAATTAATGTAAGCAGCTAGTAACAACCGTTATAGCTATTCACTTTCGTCCCCTAAAGTCGCCGAAAAATGGTAAAATATTGCAGACTCAGCGAAATTAAATAATCAACAGTTATTTTCTCTCACAAGCTATGTTGCTGAGAACATCATTGTCTTTGCTAAAACTTTGGAGGCATGTTGAATCAAAAGGAAATTTTAATAATTTAAAAAAAAAATAAGAAAGAATATGTCGCCTGCGGCCTTTTATAACTTCTGGGAATTAGCTTTAATTGTCATTCTCTGTTTATAAAACATATGTACTGGTACAAGATATATGTAAGGAATGCTATTCAACGACAAAAAAAAATCAACTGATGAAAATAGATTCATAACCCCCCCCCCCCCCCCCCCACTGTGAAAAAATACTAAATGATTTACGCGTTATATTAGTTTTTGCCGTAATTTGAAACATTTTAACCATTAAATAGTTTATACATTTTGTAATGAATTATTTTTATGCACAAGATGAATGTTAAAGCAATTAATGACGCATAATTAAATACGATAGAAAACCCCCTGTTTATTATTTTGTGTGTGAAATGTGTTTCCATATAAATTGAATTATTTACAAAATGTTCATGTTTGTCGTAATGATGTGGAAATATTATAAATTCCAGACTTCTGATATTTAATAGTTCTGTTGTGTTGGGTATGAACATGAAGAAGACGCAAATACATTTAACATTATATAAAATATAAAAGCAAAACGAACGTTTGTTTGGGTGCAGATCATGAAATGTACTAAGCTCCACCGGTATTCGTTGTCCTATGCGCATTAATTCAGACTTCCAAATTGTTATTTGACTACTGATACCTTTAGATAACATTTGTCTCTAGGTGAAAGTTGACTCGGCAAAATGCGCCATCCCATTGTTTAAGTTTTATAAGGTGATTACACCGCCTATACCCGATTTCGCGGATACAACGATACCCCGATTTCGGGGACTATACGCGATTTCACGGATAATACCCGATTTCGAGTATTCTCTCCAACCTGTTAAAAGGTAACAGTTGATTTCAATCACATCTCTGCAGAAATAGAATACAAAATATCGTAGAATTAATTTCCCAATTCTTTTTCTGGAAGCATAATGCATATCTTTTTTTAAGCTCTGTTACAACGCACTTTGAAAAATTATGCACTTTGAAAAAAAAAATTTCAAAGTGCGTTAAATTTTGGACCAAGTTAACGCATTTTGAAAAAAAAAAAATCTTTTCAAAAAGCGTTAATATCGACCATATAAACGCTCTTTGAAAAAAATGTGCACGGCTTTGTCAATATTCTTGCAAATTTTAGGTAGGATAGATACTTATTTGAACCTAGTTGGATAACTTTTCGGTGATGACGTCACTTCAGGATCAAAGATATCGACGTTTTAAAGGTTTGTAGGAGTTGTCTTGTTCCCATAGGTTCTCGTAAATGTTATAAAAGGGAAATGGATCTTTCCAAAAAAAAAAAAAAAATGAATGAATGATTGTTTAATAGCACATTTTTTTTTAAATTTTATCCAGTCTGTAATAAGTTCGGTATATGTAGGGGTCCATAAGTGACTTAGAACATCGCATTTTCTTAAGGAAAAGGGAGCAATTATGATTTTTTCCTGTTTACAGAGAGATTATCAGATATGGTAACAGATGGACATATGACAACAGTATAGCAAAAAGTTAATTAATTCTTTGATTTTATGACAATGAACATTAATGGACTTTCAATTTTAAAAGAACTCAAATACAATGTACTTAGGACTTCCCTATTCTTTTTCCTGTATTTAGATTATTTTCAAATATGACCATTAGAGGTACGAGAAATGCGACAAAATGGGGCCCAAGTTTGAAAATAATTTTCCCGCACAATATGATTGTCCTTTTATAGTTCTTTGTTAAGTATTTAGAAGTATTCAAAAAAATGTTTATTCTCGCACAATATGATGGCCTTTTTTCAGTTATTTGATTAGTATTAAGAGGTATGAAAAAGTTTATATGCATTAAAGACAGGTTCTTTCTTATTGTATTGTATTTGAATTTGTATATAAAGCTACTTTGGCCAAAGTATAGTCAGTTGGCCATTGTTGCTTAGATCAGCGAGATGGCCCTTGATCCTCTCTTGTTTAATATAATAGGGAGCTTATCTCAATTTTTTCATCCATTTTACGTAAACTCAAATTTATTGAGAGAAGATATTTCAATGTCACACCAGTTGTGTAAATACATATATTTGGGTAGGAAAGATAAAAAGTTGGGCTGAGGGACCTTCTATCTCTCTTTTCCTTCTCGGTGAGGGTAGATGAACTCGTCAGTTTTTCGAAAGAAATGTAACAAAATAATGCTGTCTATTACTAAAAACTAAGTCCAGAACTTTTTTATACATATTTTTTTGAAAGTGCGTTAAGTGTCTTTATAGTAAAAAAAAAATGTTGATGTACAATTTTAACGCACTTTGAAAAAAAATTTCAAAGTGCGTTGATTTTGTCCCAAATGCTAAGCACTTTCAAAAAAAATTTTCAAAGTGCGTTGATTTTATCCCAATTTTATCCCAATTTTAACGCACTTTGAAAAAAATTTCAAAGGTCGTAATATTTTTAAAGTGCTTGCCACAAAGCTTGTTTGTTTAAAAAAAAAAAAGAAGTGGATATTGCCTTCATGTTACACTACCAAGTGTTATAAAAAATCTCTGCGAAAAAGTGTTGCTAAATCTGACTGCATAAAAAATAATGAAATAAAAAGAGTTACATGCAGGTATTATGTCTGCAATTAGTTTTAAGGCTTTCTTCATATAATTCAGATTAAATCATCGAGAAATGCTTATGGTATATTCAAAATTTTCAAAATTTTATGTTCAGAAAACTCAGATGATTTTACTGTTTTATTTAAGTAAAAAACTTCCATAAAATTCTTTGTTTATATATATATATATATATATATATATATATATATATATATATATATATATATATATATATATATATATATATATATATATATATAATTTCAAAAACAGAATGAAGAACCGGTACAGTTTTGTTGGGTGTATTAAAAACAAAAATCAAAAAAAACCAACAAAAAAACACACGCACAAAATATTTACTGCAAGCGCTTTCGGCATGTTAGGCTCTACAGGCAGTTATATATAACTGCCTGAAGAGCCTAAAATGGCGAAAGCGCTTGCAGTATATATATATATATATATATATATATATATATATATATATATATATATATATATATATATATATGTAGGACTCCAAAGTGTGATGGGACTCCAAAGTCCGATGGTCACGCCAAAGTGCTATGGTCTGCGCCGAACCCCGATGGTTTGACACGCCAAAGTTAGATGGTGCTGAACACAATTAACGTTTGTGACGTCATAGTACTACTGCGGAGAATTGCGATACCATGCCATGCCGAGATCTTTTGAAAATACAAAAATAAATATTATATGCGAGGACTAACCCTAATCTCTCGGATAGGTGCGAGACTAACCCTAATCGGTCAAAAAAGTGTATAAGAACTATAACCTAGATATCGGGGACGGGTGCGAGACTAACCCTAATGAGTCGAATAGACTGTGAGGACTAACCCTAAGTCTCTCGGGTTGATGCAAAGCTATCCCATAATAGGTCCTGTAGTGTGCAAGAACTAGCCCTGATTAGTCGAGTGGTGTGCGAGGACAAACTCTGGTAAGTGCAAGCAATACGCAAAATCAGAAAAATTGTATGCGAGGACGAATACTGAATTGATAGCTTTTGATACAAGACAACGGCATCAAAGATTGACGTCGGAATATTTTGACGTCATAAACTTTGGTTGTTTCTCCGCACCATAGGACTTTGGCGTGTCACACCATCGCACTTAAGCGCAGTGCGTCTCATAGGAAACAAGCCATCGGATTTTTGCGTGACCATCGGACTTTGTCGTCCGTACAGACATCACACCATCGGGGTTTGGCGCAGACCATCGGACTTTGGCGAGACCATCGGACTTTGGCGTGACCATCGGACTTTGGAGTCTTATATATATATATATATATATATATATATATATATATATATATATATATATATATATATATATATATATATATATATATATATATATGACAAAACATTTGACAAAATGTGATGCACTGGCAAAAAGTTGAGAGACCGATTTCTCTTCTCTTTTTTATATATTAAATAGAAAAACTATACAAGGATTGTTTAGAGATTTTGACAAAAGACCCCAGCAGGAATGGACAAGATGGAGTGTACGTTATTTACCCTGACAGACGGAGAGAAGTTTTCTGTAACATGACGACAGATGGAGGAGGGTGGACGGTGAGTAGTGTTTTCATGACTTTATGATTACTCTATACTCGTGGTTAAATGTCTTTTTACAAGACAGTGGGAGTTACTGGAGAAATGAAAATTAATCGTTAGAATGAAATTAACCAAATTCGATATGTCATTTCAGTTTTTTTTTCTAGCTAGGCATATGACTAAAAAGTCCATGATCTATTGAGTTAATAAACACGTATGTTGTGAGAAGATCAGTAAATAATGATTACAAGTTTGAAACGACTGGGTTAATATTCACAGATTTTAGGAGTTTTCAACATTTAAGACCATGCAGACATAACTCCTTTTCCCCCTTTCCAGCCCCCGGGTCATTTTTGTATACAAATTATTTAAAGTGGCAATGAATTTTATACAAGTCTGAGCCCTTGATAAAATATAATTTAGGAATACTTAGTATAGCGATTACCTAGCCGTTATTTCACTTACTGTCGCTCTTTTGTGGCGAAGTCGAGAAAGCTCTAAATCTCGCAGGATTTCCGGGGTTTAACACTGTTTGCTCTTGACAATTAAATGATTCGAACGATCAGTTCGAACAATCAGTATGCCGAAATTTTAAGTTTTGTCGAGGATAAACTTTGTCTAATTAGAAATGTTAATAGTATTTCATCAGCCCCCAAAAGTAGTCACCAGAAAAAAATTGGTTGAATTTAATTGGAAGAGTCTACTTTTGAAAAGTATCAACAGAAATGCAACATTTGAAGACTATCTCCTTTTAAATTTTATTCGATTATCAGTTCAGCAAGATATTTCACCAGGAATTCTTAAAAATTCAACAATGATCGATTTTTGCATTAACTGTTTTAACAGCAAGTTGTTTCCAGCCGACATACGTTTTCTACCTCCACCTAAAGAGTTTCCTGTGTGCTGGATGTGACTTTTTTAACATCTTCTATGTCCTGAGAAAGGAACAGGGCATTCTGAAAACTTGACAAATTTTTATTGTGCGTGTCGCTGGTCATTTCCGTGACCTTGTATCTATTTAGTAGATCCGACACATAGGATATGCAGTGTTGTTGGTGTTTTAGTGCTTTTTATATCGTCTTTTCACCAACTATATCCTCTCAGATCCACTCGTTTACCTGTTTTGGTTTTTTTCTTTTTTTCTATGCCTTTCATTTATGTATTCAATTCAGTCATCATTTGTTTTTATTTCTTTTTATTTAGACCTCATTTTGGAACATTAGTTCTTCTCATTCTTTTCTTCACAATTTATGTTTCGTCTTTTTTTTTCCTTTTTATTTTGCATTTCTGTATCGATTTCCAAATTTATGTAAATTTATCTTTTGGTCTTAGGTTACGTTGGCAAATCAGTTCAATCGTTTGTCTAATCTTTCGACTTTACATGTGGTTTCTTTTCATTTTTATGTATTTATTTTCTATATTTTCTAAAGAAGTTAAGTTCATTGCTCCTTTTTAATTGTTTAGGGATATAACTATCTAATTCCCTTTTCAAAAGGCAATAAAAAGAAATCCAACATTTTAACTTCTGAAGAAACAACACCAGAAATCAATCAAAGCAATCAATCAAAGCAAAACATCGGGTATCGAATTTACAGATCTACTTAGCTTGTGACATTATACCCAGTTTTTTTTTTTTTTTAGATAAATGTTACGCCTAACACAGGGTCAGTCTCCAAAAGCTTTCGAGAACAATAACAAGGTGTTCGAAATAACTGATGTCACTCTTGTCTTTCTCGGGATATCCACAAGTTAGGAAAATTTGAGAGTGACATCATGTCCCTAGAATCATCCCTCTTTGATAGTACGTCCGAAACTGACCTTGATGAAGCCCACAGTATTATTGACACCTATAATAAGGCCCTTACAAATTATTGACATCTTTTATGCCCTTACAAATGATCTCAAAAGACTCAAAAAAAAGAAATTCTTTGAGATAATGTTCCACAGTCCACGACCAACTAGTCAGATGTCAGAGTGAATAAATCACGCAAACCCCGCTCGAAACGTTTCAAGCGCAAACATAAATCATTGTGGGGACGAACCCTTGCATACTCCTGACGTCTGCCCTGTGCTGCAACACATCAAGTGTTCCTCTTTCCGAATCTCAGATCTCATTTCTTTCTTAGGGACTGTTTTTCTGTCCCACGCTACATGAGGTCGACGAAAAAACAAGTCAGAGAGGACACCCGAGCATTCTTTCGGAGCCTTCAACTGAAGGAGCATTTCTCTAGAAAAGACTCTGAGTAAAAGACTCTGAGTTGAGGCAACTCTCAGACGAACGTTTCTATATGAAACTGGACTCTAATCCCACTAAAGAGTTCTCCACCGCTATCACTTGACGAAATGTTTGAATTGGTATCCACGTCTAAGAGACACTCTTTCCCATTGACTGTACACCAGGACAATTTTATCTAGCTGCTTCCTAAGATACATAAAAAAGACATACCAGGTCGTCCTATAGTTAGCACAATCGGACAGTCCACGGAGAACATTTCTGAGTACATTGATTTACATCTCCTTCCACATGTAGCGAGTTTACCATCTTATCTCAGGGAATTTATTAACAAGACCCCCCGACTGGCCTTCCAGATCACTCCCTTTTAGTGACTATGGACGTCACATCTTTGTACATTCCGCAAGATACGGGCATCGAGGCCTTTAGAAAAGGCAGATCTGTACAAACTCCTTCTAAGAAGTCCTTTGCCAAGTTCCTTGACCATGTTTTCAAGTGTAATAATTTTATGTTTAATGGAGAACATTACCTACAAGTCAATGACACTCCTGTAGGAACCAAAATAGCCCCATCTTATGTCAATATTCTCAAGGGCAGACTTGAGCGCAACTTCTTACCTCAAGCACCGATTAGGCTCCTTAGCTGGTTGCTTTTCATTGACGATATAGAGATGAAGTGGGTGCAATGACACAATAGCCCCCGAGGCATTCATTTCGTTTGAGAACACCATCCATCAGTTTATCAAATTTACGGTAGAGTTATCAAATTATAAAGAAATCCATATTTTAAGGTACGACATCTACCCTGATTGGTGGCGAAATCGAGTTCAGACTCCACACGAAACCTTCTTAGGGTTCTCAATCATACCATATTTAAATGTGGCGCAAGACTTACACGAAGGGTAAATATTTGCGGTCATTTCGAGACCGAATTCGCGAAGAAACCGCTTAATTTTGAAAAACGCACAACTCTTCTGAATAAGTATTTAAATACCCAAATGGTATTAATTTTTTTACTATAAATTTAATAATAAAAACAATTAATGAATGAAATATGAAGATAACGAACAGTATTCAATCTCAAAAGTCTTATGAAACGATACAGATTTGGAGCAGAGCAAACACGGACCTCAAAATTAGAGGTGGGATCAGGTGCCATGGAGGAGTAGAATCCCCTGCCGACCGGTCACACCCGAAGTGTGCTCCTTGTCATGATAGGGGAAAAAATGGAAAAATCCGTAGACAGTTCAGTGTATAAATAATGGCTTAACAATTAGTATGAAAAATGTCAGTCGGCATTTGACTCAGTGATAGGTTGTATGTGCTGACAAGGTCATTGTATCGACCGTAAAACTTGCGATAAGATGACTTCAAACGAGACTGTTGATATCCTTGTTTCATCAACTTCTTTGTCAATAGCTTGCCTCGTTTTAGAAATTGTTCATACGTAGAGCTTGCTCTTGCTCTTGGATATTGAAAAACATAGTGCTACGTGTTAAACAAAAATTAAAATATTTCCAAAATATATGTATACTCTGACCCACCCACCCCTCTACCTACATACGTTCTACGTTCTTATGCATAAACAAATATTAGCTTATAGACTCTGAAAAACAGTACCAGTTAAAACAAGTTTAAAGTGTTATTCTATGATTTTTCAACAAATATTTTTGGTTACAATGATAAACTATTTACCAGCAGTGCCCATTATAGGGCATAGGAAATTCTGGTAAGTCACTCTATCACGCTATAGTTCGTATATATATTTTCAATATATATGGTCTCGGTTGACCAAGGTATCTTAAAATTTGTGAATTAGAAATACATTTAGCAGTTTAGTGTCATAAAATACCATTTTGATGGATCTATCGTTTATTTTTTAACATTACCTCAATACATACAGGATAACGATACAGTACGATGTTTGGCAACAGTCCCAAAACAGTTTCAGAGACGTGGTTATCTATAGTAAAGCTAAATAATTCATTGGTATTAAAACGTTCATTTGCAATAACTAGGAAGTGTAAATAAAATTGGATTGTCTTTTTTCATGCATGCGTAAGGTCCAGCAAGATCTAGAAGATAATATATATATATATATATATATATATATATATATATATATATATATATATATATATATATATATATATATATATATATATATATATATATATATTGCAAATATTTTTCTTATATGAACGTATTGAAGAGAAAATATGTTCAATTCTGTATGAACTTATTAGAGGGTCAGAGGTCATGGCGTAACCGAATCACACAGCGAGATGATATCTTGTCTACATATTTCTGTCACGGTGACACTGGTTTCGGAACTTCTAAGCCGTTAAAGCGATGAAAAAGATAAAATTATTGAAACATATGTTTTTCTTCGTTCAACAAATATTCATTAGTTCTTTCTTCGATGTGAAGAATGTTTTTAATTAGCCTAAAATCACGCTTACCTTTTTAACCCGAAATTCCTTTGAAGGTATGTAAACTGAAGACGATACCACCGCTTTTGACTTCATATATTAAGAACTCATACAATAATAGTAAGATTATTCTCAGTAGCGATCATGGATTTTTCATTATGAACAGATATTTCCTGAAATGGACTGCTGAATATCAATGTAAATATTCAAATGTTGGAGCGAGGCGAACTCTCAAGACCAAACAGCTTCTAGGTCATTGCGCGTCACAACGTAGCAATACGGCGGGCCGTTCGTGTAATAAATGCAGTTCTTTTTAGAATATTCGTCTCAAATGTAAATAAAAGTAATAAACAACAATGTTAAAAAGTTCTCTGGGAAATGAACTTGGTTGGTACGTGATCAAATCTTCTGAGAAGCCCTTCGGGCTTCACAGGATTTGATCACGTGACCAACCAAGTTCATTTCCAAGAGAACTTTTTAACATTGTTATTTATTTCTTAAATATATATATATGAGTTTCTCATTTTGTATGAAACTGGAAAATTTACATGGTTATATCAGCACAGAATCAGAATTGTCTAAATTCCTAATTCCTTTCTTAGGAACTGCAACCGAAAGACTACAACTAGATCTGAAGCCAAGCAATTAGTTAATCTACCAAGCATCAAGGGTCATATTTTTTTTTTACAATAGCTTCACACAGAACAGAATCTCCCGCCCAATGTTTATACACCCCCTGCTTGAAGACTGTGTGTTAAAAATATTCAGAACGGAATGTCATCTGTTCTTAGTCAATCAGTATTTTAGAAATAGTCTGAATAGGGATAAAGAGCAATCTATCAGTCTATGTTTTATAATCGTATATCTTTGACAGGGAGCAGTTCATAAATCAACGAATGTTTCTTTACAGGTCATTCAGAAACGAGAAGATGGCGACGTGGATTTTTATAGGACATGGAAAGAGTATAAAGAGGGATTTGGGAATGCCTCTAAAAACTATTGGATAGGTATTTTTTTTATTGGTATTGTGTCTGACTCCTTCCCATTGATTAATATCACTGGTAATTTCATAAAAATAATTAGTAATCGAAAATAATTATTAAAACTCTCCAATCATATGGATCATATACCTTTAATACCGTAGATTACTGAATTTTTAAAACACACGTTTTAAAATACTTTTTAAAGCAATGCTGTTTTCTAGATTTTATAAAAAGTTCTAATAAACTTTAAATACATGCAATAAGAACATTGTGTTGACAATGGTGAACTGCAATCCATGAAAAATAGCTATAAAAAATAATTACAATGCTGTGAATGTTTAATATGTTTGAAAATTAAAGATTGCAAGTGTATGACATTTTAAACAAAAGATAATTAACATTAATTGTTTAAATTCTTTCAATTTAAGAATCTGAAATATTTAAAGAGGGGTCTATTGAAACTTTGATCTTTCTTTCATTGTCACTTATTTCCGATAACCAAGATAGTATGTTTATTTTAGGGATGTCAATTTTACTCAGACAACTACGTCAGATACTTTGGTTGAACGATAGTCGAGTACTCGTTACTTTTTTGTGGATGTCAATGTAAAATTTCTCATTTACCGACTTATTTTGCATTATTTATTCGACGCTATCATCATTTACTTTGTATTTTTGAACCAACATTTAAGAAAAAATAAATAAATGAACTTAATATTTATCGTTTTACTCCATCATATTTACCCAAAACTTTTTTCAAAGTACTTTCGATTGTCCTCTCTAGTTACATTTACACGAATTAATCAATCATTCGAGCCCTGCAGTACATGAAGAAACAACTGATAATTTAGAGTACTTCAAATTTCCAAAAATAAGAAGAAGGGCAAGTATACAAATTCAAAAAGACCGTTACTATGGAAAAAAACATATCTTCCCTTTAAATGGTCCAACTCCTGAGATTGTCTTTCTTAGCTTAAGCCCAGATCTTTTACCCTCAGTGATTATATTTGTCTATTTCTTTTCAATTTGAAATGTTAAATAAAACTTTTATTTTACAATATAAAAAGTTAAAGAAAAACTTACCTTAATCAATAGTTCAATCAAACTTTTTAATACTTTTTTCCCAAAATTAACACAGGAAACGATGCAATCCATGCTTTAACCAAAGATCAGGACCAAGAACTCCGTGTTAATCTCCAGAGATTTAACGGAGAAACAGCGTTTGCTGAGTATTCCACGTTTTATATCGGAAATGAGGCAGATAAATACCGTATGACAGTATCCGGGTACAATGGAACTGCAGGTATGATGTCTTATCAAAATAGAAAAATTAATCTTCGATGCAATGAAAGTCAGTAGTCAGTCTATAGTCAATAAAACACCCAATTATGAAACAGATGTGGCAGACTATGAGGTGTCTTATATTTCAAGTTCACTGCAATAAATTAAGTCGACATATGAATGAAAGTAACTATTGTTAATTAATTTAACGTAGTCGATATATATCTGAATGTCTAGTTGAAGGCCACGGGAGTTTGTTTCTTCTTCTCATCAGAAATTTTGAATAAATTTTGCTTCAAGGGAATATAAAAACAGGTCGGCTAATGAATTAGCATAATTAGTGCCCATAGCAATTCCAACATCTTATTGGAATACCTGGTCTCTGAAGGCTACATAATTTTTTTTTCGATGAGAAACTCCAGCATTCTATATCAACTTCAGGGTACTTTTGTGTTGAATCAGAGTGATTTACAACAAAGTAATTTAGTTGATGACTATTTACAAGAAACAATTTTACTCGAGTTCCATTTTTATTGGAAATGATATCAAGAAGCCTATTTTTCAATTTATCGTGCGGAATGGTTGTATTAAGTGTAGAAAATTCGTACGTTTTGGTGTTATTCACTAGAAAAATTGGGAGTGTTAATTTTTCTTAAAGTACTTTGGAGTTTCCTAGTAAGCCCGTCTTATTTACACCACTTCTGGAATATGCTGTGGCACAGTACGTGTGAAGTTTTTCCTTCACAGCATTAAATTTTTTTGTAAGTAACATATTGTTAAAGTAGTCTTTACATTTATTTTATTACCTCCGATTTAGTAAAAACGGAAGGATAGATGGTCCGCATTCTGCCTTTTAACTTTCTAATATTTATTTAAAACAATAAAATCCATTCTGACAAAGTGTTTTGGTCTTTCTCTTCTTATTATTATTCCAAACGTCTGGTCTAATCTTCGACAGCATTCATAGAAGAAATGAAGTTTTGTCACCTATTGTTGACATTGTCACCTGAAGTTGACATTGAAAAGATGCTTGAGTTTCTGATTGACAATATCTATGTGGTTTTTAGAAACCAGGTCTTCCAACAATCTATTGGAATTCCCATGGGTACCAATTGCGCCCCGTTATTAGCAGACCTTTTTTTGTATTCATATGAAGCAGAATTTGTCCAAAATATTGTACGTGAAAAGAAGAAAACACTTGCTGTGGCCTTCGACTCGACATTTAGATATATCGACGACGTATTGTCAATTAACAATGGCTATTTCCATTCTTATGTCGATACGATATATCCTAGTGAACTTGAAATAAAAGATACCACAGAGTCTGCCACATCTGTTTCATATTTGGATATTTTACTTGAAAAAGACGTTAATGGTAATCTAACAACCAAGCTTTATGATAAACGTGATGACTTTAACTTTTCAATCGTCAACTTCCCTTTCCTCTGCTGCAATATACCTTCATCACCTGCATACGGGGTATATATCTCTCAGTTGATTCGATACGCAAGAGCATGCTCTACGTATGTACAATTTCTAAAACGAGGTAAATTATTGACAGATAAATTGATGAAACAGGAATATAAGCTGTCTCGTTTAAAGTCATCATTTCGTAAGTTCTATGGTCGATACAATGACCTTGTCAGCAAATACAATTTATCATTGAGTCAAATGCTGACTGACGTTTTTCATACTAATTGTTAGGCCATTATTTACACACTGAATTGTCGACGGATTTTTCCGTTAATTCCCGATTATGACAAGGAGCACACGGCGGGTGTGACCGGTTAGCAGGGGATGCTCACTCCTCCATGGCACCTGATCCCACCTCTGATGTTTGGAGGTCCGTGTTTGCTCTGCTCCTATTTTGTATTGTTTAATGGACTTTTGAGCTTGAATACTGTTCGTTATCTCCATATTTCATTGAAAGATTGGGGCTCCCTGTATTCAGGATCCTTTAAGATGATCGCTTTCAGATCTTCATTTTCAACTATATTAATATCATCGGTAATGAAGTCTCCAACGGGACGGTGTTGAAAGAAGAGAAAGAGCAAGAACACTTAAGAGGGTTTTGTTTTAGATGTTCAATATCTAAACACTTTAAGGTTTCTTTAAAATTGTAAAGTCTGGAAGCAATAGTTTGGGAATATCTCTAGGAAATGCAGGGTGCAGATTTCAACTCCACTTATATGTTGGAATGCAAGACTAGGCTTTTTATGATTAAGGATGTTACTAATGTTGGCAAATTTAAGTTTAAGTAACCGACGTCGACGGGTTGATTCAGAATTATCTTCCGAAATACGTGGTGGCTTGAAGAGCCTGTGCTTGGCAACATTCATGATCACAACCACAAACTTTTATTCTGCAGTGGAAGAATTTAATTGGCGAATGAAAAAGGGTGAAGATAACGAACAGTGATCGATCTCATATAAACTTTAAATAATACAAATCTGTGAACAGGGCATAAATACGGACATCTGGAAATTCCAGAGGTGGAATTAGGTGCCTAGGAGGAGTAAGCATCCCCTGTTGACCGGTCACATCCACCGTGAGCCCTATAAGAGGGGTGATGAAAATGTTTCAGTGTGCATTATTTTTTTTTAAGTAGTCTTGCACATCTGCCACCGTTCTGCCCATGCACGAAACACGTGGCCCAGGTGGTCACGTGACATGCTCCGTAGCGTATATATATATATGAAGCAGCATTCTTATAAAAACTATCACAGTGGCCAGATTATTCGCCTTTCATTTTAAAATCACTTGTTCATTTTTAAATTACAATCACCTTTTCATGAAAACTTGATTTTTATTTTTATTTATTTATTTATTTATTTTGCCAAAAATATTACATTTATGAAATATTTGTATGTTACCCATAAAATTCAACTTATATGGTCGAGGGCAGTGGCAGCCATACAGTGTTGACAACTGTGCTTAAAGTTACTATAATGATAATTCTTCTAATAAGTATGAACATCAATGTTATCAATACTCTTATTAGGTGACGGTTTGGATTATCACAATGGTATGAAATTTTCCACTAAAGATCAGGATAATGACATCGGTCGTCGTCACTGTGCTGAATCCTATCACGGCGCTTGGTGGTACAGGTCCTGTCTCGTCTCTAACCTGAACGGGGAGTATGCCCAATCTGCTGTGTTTTATTTTGATCACCCGATATGGGAGCAGTGGACGGATGGAGAAGCACTACAGAAGACCTTGATGATGATACAAACACTGACTCAGAATATCAATAGATTTAATGATTGATTCAGAATATAGGTGTTGCACATTTTTTAAAAAAAGATATTAACAACATACAATTTTAACATGAACGATTCATAGATTAGTATTTACGATTACATCTATCTATAACCAACATACAAGTATCTGCTTGATGGATTCAGAAATTAGGTTTTGTTATATTAATTCAGTTTATTAAGCACATTCAGGTGACTTTAATGATTTAGAAAATAGTTTTCGTTGTAGCTGTCTCTCTTAATAAAACTTCAACTTGAGAATTTCTACCTTAACATGTACAATAAATGTGTTCAATAATATAGAAACTCCTGTGTTTTGTTATATGATGTGATTTTTATCTGACAAGTTGTGCTTTTAATTCCCCAGCGGTGTGGAGAATAGAATACAACTAGCTGGATAAAAATCATATTAGACACAAACCATAGGACACCTTTCTATAACATGTTTAACATTACTTAATTACATATAAGTTGTTTTCACTGTTCTTATATATATATATATATATATATATATATATATATATATATATATATATATATATATATATATATATATATATATATATATATATATATATATATATATATATATATATGGAATATAAAAAAAAATTTCATAGATTTTATCCACCGGATATGTAGAGAAACATGTGGTAACCCATAAATGTAGTTCAGTTTAGATAACAAAATGATTGTATTGCAGTAGCTAGGTAGTTTTGCTAGTTTAAAAAGAGGGGATGAAATCAGGGAAGAAAGATTGCTCGTTTTCATATTCGTGATTTCAAAACATAATTTGTCGAAATGCGCATCTGGTGCATTAAAATTGTTACCGTATAAGATTCACATACGGAAACAATACAAATACTGTTTGGTTTGAGTATTTATAATATATTTTACTGTTATTTGATGAGTAGATTTGTTTCCACTCATGCGAATCTTTTTATATTATCTAAGATGTACCTTACAACATTATCCTTACCTTATAATTGAAGCATAGGTCTAACAAACATTTCCAACAGCAAAATAATTGTATTCATCTGTCTAGTAGGATAAAGTAAAATCCAATTAGGTATTATCGCCAATTAATTATATTGTTCTTTACGTTAAACGTAATAAACCTGGTTACGTAAAGTAACATAACATTCAGTAAACTGCTTAAAGTTGGCTAAAAACCCTACCAAAAAATACTAATGTTAGCAACAGTCTACTAAAGTTAAATATGATTACCTAAGAACAAAGTTTTATCTATGATAAATCAAAATCTCTACTATAGTACGTAAATCAAAGTATTTCTACCATGAATTTCATTTTGTTATGTTCAATTTTCTGATTTTTTTCTATATTTTTATGGAAAAATTCTTTTTATATTCACATATAAGTTCCAAAATTAACATTTTATTAATAGAATTTAGAGATAGATGTATAATGGCTCTAACTCTACAAATATTCAAAAGTTCCATAGTAAATCAACGTATCAAAGTATTTACTACTGTAAACTTGAGTTAACTATAGTAAAACAAAGTAAATTTTTGTTAGGGAGGATCTTAAAGGATGATTAGAGAAAGTTTTTACGATAATGGTCATCTAATAGCTTAGCAGTAGGACAAACGTGATGTTGATTTCAACATTTTCATCGTCAACTTCCCTTATTTATAAAGTAGTATTCTTAAATCATTTGTATATAATGCTAATGTCTCCCAACTGTTTCGATACGCAAAATCAGGCTCTGATTACAATAAATCTTTATACCGAAGCAAGATGCAGACAATTAAATTAATGTTACAAGGATTTCGACAACCCGGTTTAAAGCAAGCTTTTCGTAAATTCTATCGTCGTTATAGTGACCTTGGGTCAAATTTTGCCTGACATGTTTCTTACCATTCGTTAGGTCATTGTTTTTATACTAAATTTGAGTACGGAGTACTCCGTCTACCCGACCAATACATAAGGCTCACGGCGTGAGTGTCCGGTCGACGAGGATGCTTACTCCTCCTAGGAACCTGATTCCAACCCTGGCCTCGAGACCGTAAACTGAGAACAGACTTAAGTCAAAATTTTGATTTTGAATATCTTGAGTTTTATTTAACATACATACTTAAAATTTTGCAGGTTTGTATAACATTCCAGTATAAATTATTGATGAAAATTTTGTTCTGTTATCAAAATCATGTCAGAGGTTATGTGGATTTGAAATTTTGACTTAAGTCTGTTCTCAGTTTATGGTCTTGGGGCCTGGTGTTTCCAGGGGTCCATGTTTTTGCCCTCTTCACGATTCATTTTTCTGTATTGGATCTATGAGATTTATCGTTGTTCGTTATCATCACCTTTTACATAAGAAGCAACTACAGAGTAAGTCTTTCAAGCCATAGCAATTGTTGTTTGCCTCTTATACCATGTATACACAAATAACACAATCCAAGCAGGAAAAATATTCATACCTCCAAACTATAAAGAAAACTTGGGCATGTTACAGCTAGATTCACACCTATTACTCTTTTTTAGAATAATCTTACTTTCTTAAAAAAATAAAGAGCCCTTTTGATTCTTGGATTACCATGACCTTTTGAGGGTCTAGATTTAACACTAAGCATACATTTTATGTTTATAAATTAAAAAGAAATTAATGCTAATATATTTTAGTCAGGATAAAATAAGGAAATGTAACTGAAATAAGATTTTTCTTCAAGGAGTTTTTGCAATTCTTCAAAATTTCCGAGTACTTTTTTCCCTATACAATTATATGTGGGTTTTTTTTTGTATTTTCATCCAGCATTTTTAATGATCATAAAGGTTCATTCTCTATAAGGCCGTTTTCCGGCCTACGTTGAAATCATTCTAAAATGTGTTTTTATGTTATTTTTATCCTTCTATTATATGATTTTGGTCCTTATTTTCCAACATCGATCGTGTGAGTCACGTGATTTATAAAATAAAAATGGCGGCCAAGCTTAAAAATATTGAGGGTGTGTCTATTTAAACTTTGTTTTTATGCATGGTTTTTTAAATAATGTAGAATAAGTCATATAAATATGAAGTAAATAAATTATATTAAAAATTTAAATGTAAAAATCGTACAAATTAAGGTTAAAATTAAAATAACATGACGCAACATGTTGCCCATTCACATTTTGTATATTTTAAATTTAAATCTTGAGAAAATGCTCACCTTATGACATGAGTAAATCTTTTATTATCATTTATTTGGCCAAAATACTTTATTTTAGAATCAATTGTTATTGTGTGTCATTTTTATCGATACTTTACCTTTATTTCCTATAATATACCAATTTAGAAATATGGTAGCGAATTATCTATTTGTGATTTAGCCAAGAAAACCTGCTTCACAGACTATATTTAGACCAACCAAATGAACCATCGATGTAAAAAAAATAATACAGTTAAAATATATCTTCTTATGTATATAAAATAAAATAAATTCATTAAAAATGCTTTGTTTTCATTTAAATATACCTGTTAGGTATCATATTAATATCCAATGAATAGGAAATGCTATATGTCTTAAGTATATGTATTAGACGGGATAATAAAAGTTCTGAAAACGGATCAAAATCACGTATCTTATAATATTAATAAAAAAACAGTACCGGGTAAGTTTATACTTAATTCACAAAGGAACTAAAATGTCGGTATGTTGTGATCCAATTTGACTAAATAAATACATTTACTCTGACCCTACTCCAGACAACCAGTCACAATCCGCTGCGTCTTTTGTATAATCAAAAAAGGGTCGTGGTACCAACTTACCATCTTGATGTCGCTGGAAAGACAAATACCATAGCACAGCAGCAATATGTGCACAGCAGCCTAATGTGCGAGCTCCTGATTTACACTGACAATACCAGCCTGTAATTGGATTTCTTTTCTCACTTTCATATGAAATCCACAGTATGTAAGTTTTCGAAGAACTATGTCTTGATTGTAACTTGGCTTTCAATAGACCATCGTCTTGTTTGTGAACAAATAATTCATATTTGCCTTCAGGTTATATATGTTCAATTGTATACGCCTTTGCCTGCTTTAATTGATATACTCCGACTGTAATATTTCTAAGAGCATCCTCTGAAAGACGAGGAAAATCCATCAAATCCATCAACTGACTCCCATACACTTCTTTTAGCTGCAAGTTTTTCATTTTCCACCCGTTTTTGTAACTCATTAGTTGTTTTTGACAGAAATGACATTCTAATTGCTAGCTCCGTGTCCTCAAACTCAGAATTTCTTATCGGAGGTCTGAACTTATTGCACAATGCACATACAATACGTACATAATCACCAACAAATTGTATCTGTGTATTTGGCATCACTTGGCCCAAAGCTTTCCATCGCTTTATCCTTCCATTCACTGACTCGACAACCCAACGTACCTTTGTTACCATTCTGGACTCGTTTGCTTCTTCAGTAGAGTGCTGTTTTTTCCCCTTTTCTAAGTAGCATGGCATCTGAGTTCTAAACCCCATTTGTTGTAAGAAATCTCTGCAGTCTCTAAATCCTCTGTCCAGAACAAATATATCTCCATCTGAATGCCAAGTTTTTAATCGTTCAGTGTCATTTTTCATTATACTGGTTAAGATCGAAGCATCATTAGTGCGTCCATCTGCTAAGTAAGGACCAATAGCATCTAGTATGTAGCCATCAGTACCAACTATCATCATTGGCTTCAGGAGCGGTCGACTTTTGTAAGCACTGTATGTTCGGCGCTGGAAACTGTAGTTTGAACTCTTTTCTATATAAATATATGTGCCATCTATGACAAGGGCTGCGACATCTTGGCCATCTGCAAATAGTTGCTTTACAAAAGCAGTAGTATGTTCCCTAATAAACTCGTCCCTAGAAATATGCTGAGTGCCCAAATGCTGGGGAACAAATTCTTTCATTAGAACAGCTCTTGCACTGTGGATTGCTTTTGATATGTACTGTACATTAGGTATCTGGAACATACTGCTCATCACTTTTAGGGACACTCCTGTTCGCAGTTTTGTCAACAGGAGT